TCCCGGTTACTCGGGTAGGTGTGTGATATATGTCATATGTGGATACTACTCCCTCCATTCAAAAATATTTGACGCTGTTGGCTTTTCTAAACATATTTGACCGTTCATCTTATTTAAAAAATTTAAGTAATTATTAATTCTTTTTCTATCATTTGATTTATTGTTAAATATACTTTTATATTTTATATATTTCACAAAAGGTTTTGAATAAGACGAATGGTCAAACATGTTTAAAAAAGTCAATGGCGTCAAACATTTAGGGAAGGAGAGAGTATTAAATTATGAAAGTTGACACATATAGTGTCACAACTCAGAAACTAACCTTCCTACCACGAAGTTGTCACTGATCCAATCTTTGACCTAATTAATTTGTCGACACAAAATAGATACTCCCTCCTCTGTATGACGCGTTGGCTCATATATAACGTATGACGAGTACATTTAGCTACTTTTCCAAATAAAAAAAGAAAAATAATAAATCCAAATTTCCCCAAAAATTTAAAAAGTTTTCAAAGTTTTATTTTCTAATTTTTCAAACTATACATTATGCACTCCAAATCTGCCATCATCCTAAGAATATTGCTACCATACATTATATTCTTTGTTCACTCCATGTGAAGTAATTTTCCGTATTCCTTCGATCATCCATTTAATCCCAAAGCACCTCTCGTAGTAATAAGTTCTTTTATCGGAATTGTTAAATGTCATTCGACATATTATTGGGGTTAAAATCTTACAGATTTCTAACCTTAGGATTTGCATCGATTCGTGCTCTGACGATCCCAGCTCTTCTCCTCTAGTTCCTGCGACACCTTCTCGTTGCCATCAGAGGAAGACAATGCAAGGGCATCTCATTGCTGCCGGCTTGAGGGAAATGAGAGGGTGGAAGGGGGTGAGGGGAGGGGGAGGAGGCCGCCCGGGGGCATGGGCTCACTGGTGCGACACCTTCTCGTTGCCATCGGAGGAAAACAATGCAAGGGCCTCTCATTGCTGCCGGCTTGAGGAAAATGAGAGGGTGGAAGGGGGTGAGGGGAGGGGGAGGAGGCCGCCTGGGGGCATGGGCTCACTGATGCGATTGATGCCTTCCAGCAGCTAATGTGGCTAGGCAGCGGCAATGACGGGGGGAGTCGAGCGAACGAGCGCTTGATCTACTCAGTCCCATGGCGGCTATGAGTAAGGAGGGAGGAGAGGAAGGGAGGAGATATGATTAAGATTGTTGCATGAATCTTGAAGCAGTCATACTGTCGAAGAAACAAGAACTAGGGTCCCAATTCCCCTAGGGCATCAGGGGACAACGATACATATCAAGACGTACAAGATCTACATCTTCAAGGTATAGTGGCAGGTGTGTTCAAGCAAGGGCCTCATTTCCAAGTCGTGCAACCATGAACTCCTTCATCCTCGACATCTTCGAGAAGCTCGTCCTACTCCGAAGAACAGTTCATGCCTAGTAGTAGGGTGGCCTAAGTTCCTAGGGTGCCCTAGGGATGTAGGGTGCCCCAGATACGACGGCCGTCCAAAAACGAAGCCCAATATCTTTGGGTCCCGGAGAGGGGCCTAAGTGCACTTCATGCCCCGAGCGAGGGCCAAAATGCGTTCCATGCGCTCTCACTTACGTTTGTAGTCACGTCAAGGAAAAGTTATCGGGCTAGGGAGTTGCTCAACCGCTCCCCCATATTAATAGTGATATGGTGCATGCCTTCCATCCATCTCGTCGATAACATGGGGAGTGTGGGGGTACCCATGCGAGACGTCACCTAGATGGGCCTACGGACAATAAGGACGGGTGCATCTTTTTTTTACTATCGGCATGCTCGCTCCATCAATCAACAAGGGAAACATTGATCCCCGTCTGGATCAAAAGACAATGATTAGACCAAGCATGATTCATTTAGTGGTGTAGGACCCACTTCCACATCAATGTAATGGCACTGTGGACTTCCCTTAAACTATATAAAGAGGATCCATGCCAATGGATAGAGGGTTTTGATTCTAGCAAACTAGCATACATCCTTAGGCTTTCAGTTCCCCTCAGTTCCTCACCATGTAAACCAATTTCATCATCCACACATAGTTCGTAGATAGGAGTAGAGTATTACGCATCGATGCGGTTTGAACCTGCATAATCCCATGTGTTCATCTTTCGCTCACGGTTAGGGCCCGAACTCAAAACTTGCCCCTAGTCGAATCTCCTAGGGGTAGCACACACTTACCCGTTAGAGGATTTCCACGCTCCGACATGTATGGTTCACAATTCACATGATTTTATAGGGTATTTTTCTGTCAAATACTAATCCATCTGTTTCATATTATAAGTCGCTTTGATTATTTAAAAGTCAAACTTCTTGAAGTTTGACCAAGTTTATAGAAAGTATAGCAATATTTATAGAACTAAATTAGTTTTATTAAATCTAACATTGAATATACTTTGATAGTTTCTTTGTTTTACGTTTAAAATAGGAAAAAGTATGAATTACCGCCCTGATCTATCGTGGTCGACCAAAATTCCCTCATGGACCACAAAAACCGAACATTTTAAACCCTAAACTATTTATAATAGATGAATAACCGCCTAGCGGTTTTAGTCCTACATTGCCACACACGTGGCACAAGCCCCAGATGTCAACCTCCACCTCGTTCTCCCTCTCTTATGAAGCTAGAGGGCCCCCACATGTAAGCTGCTCTCTCCTCTTCCATTGTCTACAGGCCACAGCTACAGATGTCTGCACCGCGGTCCTAGGTCCTGCTGCTGCCCTAGGGTCCCGTCAACTCCTCGAGGCACCTGCGTCGCCGCCCCATGGTCCCACTGCCGCCACTAGGCACTCACATCGTCGCCCTCATCTCGAACCCCGCCTTCTTCAGCCGGTCGTCACTGCCGTTGCCCCCATCCAACCGATGAAGAGAGAGGGAGAGGGGAGAGAGAGAGAGAGAGAGAGAGAGGAAAAGAGATGACAAGCAGCACCCTCCAGGGCAGGTGGGAAAAGCGGCGATGGCCGCGGCAGCCTCCAAGACTAGCGGGGAAAGCGGCGACGGCTATGGTGGCGGCATCGGTGAAGGTGGCGCCGTCCAGACAAGTTAGAGGAAGAGGAGGATGTCAGGAGAGTGGAGGTGGTAGCGGCAAGAGAGGGAAAACGACAGGCGGCTCCTGCAAGGCAGGATTCGACGAGGCAAGCGCCATCCGCTGCGGCCCCTCTTCCACTCTTCCCCCCTGAAGTTATGTGGACACTGGCGAGGCGAGCCACGCCACCGCCATCCCAGTCGCGCCCGTTGCTGCTAGCCGCCGACTAAAGCTTCCTCTCCGCCGCTCCCATCGTCGCCTGGAGCGCACTCCTAGTCGTGGCCCCTCCCCATCGCTGCCTAGAGCCACCCAAACATGCTTGTCGCCACTCGCCGCCGATCAATTCCCACTCCCCGCTGCCTGCAGTGCACTCCTAGCCACGCCCCTTCCTCGCTGCTCCCGCTGCTGACCAGAGCTACCCAGTCACGCCCCGCCGCCCCCACTACAACAAAAGGAATGTATTAAGACGCTTGGCCGAAGACGAGATTATAATCGTCCCACCCTGAAAATAAAGGCGCTCCCTGACCGGTTCCCTTCCCATTGTGCCTACCGCCAGCCGGAGCCGCACCCGCGCGTCGCTCACCTCCAACACCAACAGCACACAAAGAGAGAAGGGGTTAATATGACATGTGGGCCCTATATTTTTTATTTTATTTTTTTTTTGCTGATTGGATTTCCATATCGGCGCCACGTGTATGCCATGTAGGACCAAAACAGCTCCAGATTAAGTCGGGGGGGGGGTAATTCATCCGGTTTCAATAGTGTGTGGTTTAATATGTTTGTTGGAGGACTGAGAGGCCCCTCCTTCTTCAGTTCGGCCGGGGGCAGCGGGTGTAGTTTGAGGAAGCGAGTATGCTACAAAGAAACGAGGAGGGGGGTCGGGGCCGTGTCCAAGCGGCGAGACGGCAAGGATTAGACAGGTTTGGGCCGCTGAGAAGCGTAACACCCTACTCCTGTATATGATGATTTTTCTGAGCTTTGGAAGTCTCTGAATCTCTGGTGTACAAGCTAGGGTTGAGTGTTTTTACTCCGACTTTGGGGAGGATCCCTGTGATTCTTCATTTAATGGATGAAGATTGGAGGCTTGCATGCACTGGGAACGTCATCCCAGGCATTGCACCTCTCGTCACCTTGATGGGACAGGGCATACCAACCGCGCGTGGCTTGCCGCTGTCCCATCTCGTCCTTGCAAGGCACGCTCGCTCCGCCCACATTGAATGCGGTTAGGTGGGCGCGGAAGGGTGCCTACTAATCGCCTTTGCATGGCGGCCACGTGGTGACCACCCCGAGGGGTCGAGGCGGCCCGACCCTCTGGGTCAGGTATGGGCGGCCTCCACTCGTCCATGGACGCGACCCCTCGGGGCGAACGCCACGTGGATGCCGAGGGCGGCACCTCCCCTTTAAGCACGGTACTTCTGGTACCCCCAATCCTTATCATCGACAATATTAATTCGTACTATCGCAATAGTTGGAGGGTAATTCATATTTTTTCTAAAAGATATTGCTATATTCTTCTATAAACTTAGTTAAAGCTTAAAAAAATTTGACTAAAAAGTTAAAACGGTTTATAATATGAAATAGGGGTAGAATAACATTTTTTAACCTAAAACCACCTTAATAGTTTAACTCTTTATATTTTTTCACATGGTTAGTATATATCGTAGAGCCCACTCATAATTTACCAATCCCAAAGAAGATACCTCGGGCATGGGTCCCTGGAAATCCCCAACAAAAGGGCCAGTACGTGCGTGAATCTGGTAGAGTATGGTAGGAGTACTCTATACTCCTACTCCGGGTCATCTACGCCACCTCCCACATGCACACGGATTACATAAGCCTCACGCCCCCTCCTCTCCATTACTCCAAATCCCCTCTGATTAGAAAGAGAGAGTGAAAGCGAGCCATAGATAGATGCTACGCGTAGCGCTAGGGAGTAGTAGTAGCAGCAGCAGTCAGCAGTGCAGTGGAGTACGGTAGTATAGGGAGGGCTGGTCCACCGTCGCAGTCCGTCACACACCGGGAGGCCTTGCCATCAATGCGGAGGGGTCGGGCCGCATTGATTGCACATCTTGTCCTCATGCCTTGCCTTTCCAACACCTTAATTAATGGCGCCCATGCGTGCCTCCAAAACCTCCCCTGTTTCCCTTCCCCCTCTCCCTCTCCCTTGCTCTCTCTTCTTTAACCTGTTTATATTTATCTCCCCCTCTCCGTCTCGCCGTCTCTCAGCTCTCTCTGCTACTCCTCCTAGCTGCATGCTAAGCTAAATCTTCTGTTGGATTGCCTAGCTTTGCTGCTTTGCTTGCTTGCTGTGGTGTGGTGTGGTGTGAATTTTGTTGATTGGTCGGAGCTTGGGGTTGTGTATGGTGGTGGTGGTGTGGTAGCTAGTAGCTGCTAGTGCTAGATGGTCGCAGGGGCGTTGGGGTACATGGCGAGAGCGGCGGACGGCGGCAGGGCGGCGGAGCTCGTCACCAGGGATTTCCTCGGCGGCTGCGTCGCCGCCGACGACGCCAGGGACGCCGCCGCCGCCGCAGCAGCAACTGCCAGGCACGACTCCGTGGTAAGGCCGTGTTCTTGACATATCTCTTTCTTCTTCGCTGTTCAATTGATGCTTGATTGGCTAGTTTGGCTTGTTTAGTTGGGTAATTAGAGCGGGAGTTAATGATCACAACCTGCTCAGAGTAGTGATTTATGGCCGTACTGCGTGTTTGGTGGAACAGCACCGCAGAGTAACACAAAGGGGAGGAATTAATTCGATCCAAGATTTTTTCTCTTTTCAAATTTGGTCTCTTTTTTTAATGGATAGACAGGTAGATAATCCTAATCTAAGAAACTTCGAGCAAGCCATTTTAAATACTAGCAGGAGTATGTTCATTACTAAATTACTTTGCTTTGTCAGAATATCTACTGGCCGATTACTCAATATGCGTAAGAGTTGGTACAGTCAATTCTTTTTTTTTTCTGTGGCCAGTTTATCTTCCTCTGCCGTGTTATCTTGGCAACAAGAATTCTTCTCGTAATTCCAATGGAAAGAATGAAAGCAAATATTGGTCTCAATTCATTATTTTTATATGTAACCTTGAAAAATTCACAGTTTTTTTTATCCAAAATTGGTTTATCTTTCTCCTCTGATCCGATTTCTACCTTGATCTGCTTGTGTTTGTGCAGTCCGGCAAGCTGTCCCTGCAGAAGCAGACGTGCCCGGCGACGCCGACAGACCTCAACCTCTTCCCCGTCCCCGGCGCCGCCGCGTCCGCCGCCAAGCCGTGCCCGTCGTCTACGGCGGCGGCGGCCTCCGGCGCAGGCGGCACCACGACGACGACGACGACGTACCACAGCGTGTGCACGATCGAGAAGGTGAAGACGGCGCTGGAGCGGTTCGAGCGCGGCAAGCACCAGCACCACCAGCACCAGCAGCACAGCGCCGGCGCGTCCCCGTCGTCGTCGTCCGTCACCACCTCCTCCGTGAAGCGCCGTGGCGGCGGCGGCGTCGGCGACGGCGCGGTGGAGCAGGGCGACGGGTGCGACTCGCCGTCCGCGGCGGGCGGCGGCGGCATGGTGGCCGCCGCGTGCCCGAGGTGCTTCCTGTACGTGCTCATCTCCCGGTCGGACCCGCGGTGCCCGCGGTGCGAGTCGCACGTGCCGCCGCCGCCGTCGCCGGCGCCGAAGAAGAAGCCCCGGATCGACCTCAACGTGGGGTTCCTCGGCACCTAGCTTTCCTACCCTACCTTCACCTGCATCGCCACGGTGGACACATGTGACTAGCCATAGCTAGCTAGCCAGCCATGCCCCCAATTCTGTTAGGAAATCAATGAATCAATCAATCAAACACGTACTCCATAGAACACGAGGATGATCATGACGATGATGATGATGATACTAGTAGTCCTAGCTCCACTATGTAATTGATCAAAAAGCATTTTCGCCCTTAAATCAACTTTTCCATTTTTGTCTTCCTCGACCACCATCCTAATCATCATCTCATTAGAGCAATTAATCACCAGATTAGTAGTAGTGATCTCATAGTACAGCAGTAGCAGTACTACATCTGCTCATTAATTGCTCGACGTAGTCGCAGCAGAAGGTGCAGTTACTACGATTGCTGCGCAAAGTCGTGAGTTCGTGACGCGAGTTTTAATTAGGGATGTAGCAGTGCGTATCACGTTTCGTCTCGCGTTCGTCGTTGATGATGGGGGAGGAGTTGGTCCAGTTGGAGTTGACGTCGCAGCTGCAGCTTTGATGAGGTGCAGTGCTTGGCCGACATGAATGGGGGGAAGCAATTAATGGGGCGCGATGGAGATGGTTGTCCGTGCCCCGCTGTCCTCTTGCTCGCTCGGTCGGGGAGGGAGGGAGGGAGGGCAGCCTTTGCTAATTGCGATGGCTGATGCCCATCTTGATGCTGGGCGCGAGCGCGCGGTGGAGTAGGAGTGAGAGTACACGTAGTACGGCCATAGCACAGCGACGTTTAAATGGCGTGCAGTGCCGTGCCGCGCCGCGCCGCAGGCTACATGCCACTCCGGACCGCGTCGTAGTTGCAGTCGCGTCACGTACAGTAGTATCGTCCCTCGTATCCGCCTCGTCATTTCGTGTCTCCGGTCTCCCCGATGATTGGACGGACGGACTGCTCCCCCTGCCGTACGGAGTACTCCCTTCGTCAAAAGAAAAAAAAAATCAACCTGAAAATAAATACTCCCTCTGTCAATATAAGAAGTTTCAGTTTTGGACATGGTTATTAAGAAAGTAGATATAAGTGAGTGGTGGAGGTTTATAATTGAATTAGTAGTAGAGGTAGGTGGGAGAAGTGAATGGTGCAGGTTTGTGATTGGTTGTGAAGAAAATGTGGGTGGAGAAGTTGTTATATTTTAGAACAAATCCTAAAGTTGTTATATTTTGGGACGGAGGGAGTACTTCCTTCGTCTCATTTTAAATACAACCATAAGATTCCGCATTCAACTTTGATCGTCCGTATTATTTAAAACTTTTTTATAATTAGTTTTTTATTGTTATGAGATGATAAAACATGAATATTACTTTACTCATGACTCATGTTTTTAATTTTTTTTAAATAAGACGGACGATCAAAGTTGGACGCGAAAAACCATGGCTGCATTTAAAATGGGACGGAGAGAGTATTCCTATAACAAATTTAGACAATCTTTCCAGATTTGTTAGAATATAAAATGTCATTTTCCTATATTGCTTTTTTTTTTGACAGAGGGAGTACTCCCTACATCCTAAAACAAGTATAACCCTGTAATTTAAATTTGAATTACATGACTACACTTATTTTGAAATAGATGGAGTAGTTTACACTGGAGAATATCCTTAGAATAACTTATTTTAGAAATATAAAATGAACCATTTTCATGATGTCAACGTTTTTAACTAATGTTGGTGCTGTTGTTCAACGGTTATTTGACATCAATGTTATTGACATCGGGGAATCTATTTATAAATATATTTTGTTGCAAATTTATAGATCCTTTTCTTTAGCAAATATATTCTCGAGGCCAACATAATTGCCGCTGACTCCCTTCTTATTATTGAGTTAGTTTTCGTGGAAAGGTTAGGGGACATCGTCAGACGCTATTATGTTGAACCCCAACATCAATGATGTCGGCGCCATAAAAAAGATCTATTCCTTAAATAAGTTTTTGAAAAGATCAATTTATAAAATAAGTTTTTAAAAAAGTTTTAAAATGTGGAAAATCCAGCTTGTTTCACGGCGCACACTGAGTTACAGTACTAACTACTACTACTTCGTAGTATACGGTTATATACTGCTCTTGTGCCGTGGTACAACGTTTCAAATTCATCAAATCCACGGCGCTGCACGCACGCACGTACGACGACGGTTACACATTGTTTCCGGTGACTGCAGCGACAGTAGTTCCGTGCGCTGTTGCTACAGGGATGACACGATTTAATTACCCTGCCTCAACACCCGCTCCGGTCTACCGTGTGGACGAGATGGCGTTCATTTACTGTAGCAGTTTTATCTGGAGGGTTGATTCACTTGATTGTACTACTCCTAGATCAGATGATGAGATCCTGCGTAATGGCAATTACTGTGTGCCCCTGTGCTGTGGAAACTGTTCATCATTTACTCCTTGAGTGGCCGACCAGCCTAGATGCAAACTTATAACAAGGGTAAACTGCATTAGAATAGAAAGTCAAGCTATTGAAAAACACAAAGGCTCAAGTAATTCATGCTCCACTATTCTACAGCGCGGAGAATTTGACGATAAATTTTCTCAAAAAAAAATTAACATATGTAAATATAATGCAATCATAATATAATTATAATACAACTTGAATGTAGCTTTCAAAAATCTTGCGATAACATGCTATTTTCGTGAAGCGGCAGCAATTCATGCTCCGCTACTCTACAGCGGTGCGGCATTAGAGTAACTCCAATAGAATGGCCAAATGGCTGGCCAAGTTAAATTTTAGTAAGTATGGAAAAAAAAAAAGCCCTCCAACAGCCTCTCTATCCTATTAGCTAAGCTATCCAGATGGCCAAATCTTATCCCTCACTGGCCAAACTTGGAGAGTCACCCTGCCTGGCAATTCGTGGGCCCCACCACTCCCTCTCCCACCCCATCTCTCTCTCCCCCGGCAAGAAGGCAGTGCAGCAGAACCGCACGACGGCGACAGTAGGGAGGAGAGAGGCGCCGGAGCCAGCCGCCGTCCGCACTGTCCCCAGCCGCGCCCACCGCTGTCCGCGCTGTCCTCGGCCGCACGCACCTCCGCCGCCGTCAGCGTCGTCCGCACCGTCGTCGGAAGTGCTAACAGGAAGAGATAGAGGGTGAGAAAGAGGGGGAGAAAGATGGGAAAGAATGGGTATAGATGCTGACGCATGGATCGCAATGTCATAGACTCAAAATAGAGAGGACGGATGGAGAGGCTGTTGGAGTAAACAACCATTTTGACTTGACAAATGAAATGGAGAGACTTTTGAAGATGCTCTTAGCGGAGTACTCCTACAGCCATGAACTGATCTCAGCTGTAGATTTTCCATCCGACGCAGTATCGACTACAGAGGATCCGTCCGTGTCCCTGAACTTCAGGTTGGGGCGGACTTGTCTTGGACTGTCAGGCCCATTTCGACCGGATATCTGGGCCGAAAAATTTACTGGTCTGGATTTTGACAATTCTATGCGGAATAAGTTCACCGGAGGCCCCTCAACTTAACAGCGAGAATTTTTGAGATCACACAAACTAGAAATGTGTACCCCTAAACTCACACAAACTGTTCAAAGGAGGTCCCATGGCAGTATCTGTGGATGGTTTCGCTGACATGGTATCCTAGTCAGAAATTTTTTTTAAAAAAGTATGTGGGGTACACATGTCAGTAGCACATATTTTTTTTCTTTTCTTTTATTTTCATCACCTTCTCTTCTCTTTCTCTTCTTCTTCTTCAGTGGATGAGGCCGGCGGCGATTGGCGAGCGGCGGGTGAGCGTTGCGGCGGGTCCGCGCGGCAGCCGAGCAGCACCGGGTGGCAGCAGGCGAGCACGGCCTGCTGGCAGAGCGGCGGCGGGCGGAGCGGCGCTAGGATGCGGGCAGAGCGGCGATGGGCGGCGGCGGCCGAGCGGAGCGAACGGCGGGCGAGCACGGCAATGAGCTAGTCGGACGAGCACGGCAGGCGGAAGAGGGAGCCGAAACGGCGGTGGAGGCCGGGGGAGGAAGAGGAGAACGTGGGGCCGTTCCGCGGCACCAGCGCACGGACGCGGTGGATGGCCACGCGCATGGCCTCCGCGCTCGCCAGCTCCGACAACCGCGCGTGGGTTCATTCCGGTCCGGTCGATGCCTTGCTTGCTTCCTCCCCCTCCTTCCTTCGATTCGACAGGCTCGATTTGCTGTGTGAGCTTGGCTTCCGGCAATAACAGCTGCTTACTAGTAGTAATTGTTATTTTCTCCGGATTAAAGCTCTTGCCCTCGTTTTTCTTTCCGTACTTACACTTGATTTAGTCGACCTCGTCCGCTCGCCCGCCGCCGTGCTCTCCCGCCGTCCACTCCGCTCGGCCGCCGCCGCCCATCGCGGCTCTGCCCGTATCCCGGTGCCGCTCTGCCCGCCTCCGTTCTACCCGCAGACCACGCTCGCTTCCGCCGCCCGGCTGCTGCGCGGACCAGCCGCAGCGCTCACCCGCTGCTCGCCCATTGCCGCTGGCCTCACTCACTGAAGAAGAGAGAGAAGAGATAAAAGAGAAGAGAAGGAGAAGAAAAGAAAAGAAAAAGATTATGTAACTGATATGTGGGCCCTAAGTACTTTTTTAATTTTTTTTTTCTGACTAGTATGCCACCACTACTGCACAAGTTATCTTTACCTCCGGTTCGTAACTGCCTGTTCTCCCGGTTATACAACCGGGAGTCCAAATCCGGGACTAAAGATATATCTTTAGTCCCGGATAAAATAACCGGGATAAAAGTTGATCTTTAGTCCCGGTTGATAACACCAATCGAGACTAAAGGGGAGGAAAGCGGCAGCCTGGTTGCCATTTTTTTATTGTTTCTTTGCTAGATGCGTTTTTCATTCTATTTTCCCCCAAATCGGATGGGATCGATGCATATCCCCCCATAATCAAATCCCAAATCCCCAAATCAAAATATAACATCTCAAATCATATATACATTCACATCACAGATCCAAAAAAAATACCACAAATAAAATACATCTTAGATACATACAACAAATCACAAATTCTAAAAAAAATTACACATCTCAATGGAATCACAAATTGCAAAAAAAAAAACAAAAAAAACGAATCGACCACCAGCCACCAGCTCGCCGCCGGGCGGGCCCGCCTACTACCGCTGGTTGCGGCCCCGCCGGCCCCTGCCGCCGCCGCCGCCCTCCGCAGCCAATGCCGCTCGGCCACACCGGTGCCCGCCGCCAGCCGCCACCGCTCGACCCGCCGCCGCTGCCGCCGCTTGGGCACGCCGGCGCCCGCCGCCGCCGCTCGATTTGCATGCAACGAGAGAAGGCAGGAAGGGAGAGGATGAGGCTAGAAGGAAGGAGAGGATAAGGCAAAGAAAAGAATAAGAGAGTAAAAATAGAAGAGGAGTTTGAGAGGATAAGTCATAGGGGTTATATACGGTACATTGAAATTTAGTCCCGGTTTGTGTTACCAACCGGGACTAAAGGTCCCGGGGATATTTAGTCCCGGTTGGTAATATAAACCGGGACTAAATATAAGATCTTTAGTCCCGGTTGGAGTCTCCAACCGGGAATAAAGATCCGGGGGGGGGGGGCTGACAGCACCTGACAACACATGAACCGGGACTAAAGATGATGTTTAGTCCCGGTTGGTGTTACCATCCGGGACTAAAAAACATATAGTCCCATTCTGCTTATAAACCGGGACTAAAAACCATCTTTAGTCCCGGTTTTTATTGGAACCGGGACTATTGTGATTTTTGGCTGACCAGGCAAAGATGGTTTCTCCAGTAGTGCACGTCAGCGAAACCACCCACATATACTACCATGGGATCTTTTTTGAATGTTTTGTGTGAGGTTAGGGGTATACATTTTTTGTTTTGTGGTTAAGGGACCTCAAAAAATCTCGTTGTTAAGTTGAGGGACCTCCGGTGAACTTATTCCATTCTATGCTGGGAGATGCGAATCACATTGGGCCCAATATGATGCATTCAGCACTAAAACATTTTTATTTAGGGCAAAACGTACTTGCTTTAATTGGTAGTGTTATCATCTCTGCTGTCGGATGATGAAGCACCAGGTCGAGCAATCAATCATCATTGCGTCAGGATCTTGAGTTCTTGTCGATTTTGGGTGCACGCTCTAGCTCCTGATTAAGTCAATCTTGTGGACTGATTTTAGATTAATTTTAGGGGTTCTCTTTGTCAGTTTCTGTGCTAAGCTCTCCTTTTATGATTGCTTGGAAGATAAATAAAACAGGATGACTAAACCAAACTTTTAAATTTTGGATTGTTTTGGGATATAGTACTAAAAAAGAACGCCTACCACTTGAGTGATAATTGAACTGAGTAATTAAAAGCACGTGAGCTGTGTGCTACACCCTGGTATACTTGGCCTCAAAAAATCCACATTTCACATTTCAGCAGTCCAAAATGGAAAGCCAGGAAAGGGACAGAAAACAGCGGTAAAAATGGCGGCCGCCACTTGGCTGCCCTCGCTAGCGGCGAGAACGCTCCGCTCTTCTGGCTTTTATACCCAGCCCTTTCTAATGAACTAGACGACGAACTTCGTTCGGTGAAAAGTCAGTACAACATATGCAACTAGTTATCCGAAGATGCAAGAAGCCATGAACTATATATGGACGGCCGGGATGGTCCAGAATGTGCGTGGTCAGAGCTTGTGTTTAACCATGAATGGCTGAGAAAGTTACTCCCTCCATCTCATTTTAAACGCAGCCATAAGTTTCCGTGTATTGCATGTCTTATTTAAAATTTTTATAAGATTGGTATTTTTATTGTTATTAAATGATAAAACATGAATAGTATTTTATGTATGACTTTTGTTTTTTAATTAATTTTTAAAAAGTTTTCAGATCAGATAAATGATTAAAGTTGGACACGAAAATTCATGGTTGCGTTTAAAATGGGACGGAGGGAGTATGTCTACTGATGAACCGAATTTACTTTTTTTTAAGCACCACACCATTTTTATTCTTTTTAACTTTATACACCTAAATTTTATACAACCAAAATTTATACACTAAAATTTTATATGCCTCATTTGATTTCGGATTCAAATATAGAGTACTTATATTAAAAAGTTTATATACATGTATAAGGTCTATAATACGTTCACATGGAAAGAAATATATACACGGACATTTTTTTAGTAAAGTGGATAATTTTTATTTAGTTTGTATTTCTTTTCCTATTTTAGAACTTTTTGTGAAATCAATACGTGAGAAATGCGCGGGTTGTTTCAGCAAGGGGGAGGGGCGTGCCGTGACCCCACACGTGGTTGGTCACCCATTAGATGTACCTAGGAATGGTTGAGGTATTGACGTCTACTATCATCGAAATTCTGATTAATTTCACCATTAATTTATTTTATCAAAATAAGTTTATCAGATAAGGCAAAACATTTTTAGGACCAATGTATGCATACATTATTTTGTTTTCAAACGAAGAATTTTAAATTTTATTGATGGTCAAAGATGCGAAAGTTTGACTAAAAAAATAAATGATATACTATATTTGTAGCCCGAGGAGTTATAAATTTGGTTGAAACCCGAAAGCTGTGGGGTTTCCAATATATCATAAATATAACAAAGGCGTAGCTAGCGAAAACACTATGATTTTAATTAATCTACAGGAATTTTTTGCTATATTGTACTCTTAGGGAGTGTTTGAGGAGAAGGGGATTGAGGAGATTGGGAAGATACGCAAAACGAGGTGAGCCATTAGCTCATGATTAATTGAGTATTAACTATTTTAAATTTTAAAAATGGATTAATATGATTTTTTAAAGCAACTTTTATATAGAAATTTTTTGCAAAAAACGCACCGTTTAGTAGTTTGAAAAGCGTGCGCGCGAAAAACGAGAGCCAATCTCCCCTATCACCCCTAAACGAACGATGCCTTAGCCCTTCCTAACCAGCTAGATGGGTTACACGCGAGATTCAACACAAAAAAATTCACACATGAGACTCAAATTGATTCGAGTCTATATCTGATATCTCTATCTCTACTTGAATTCGTTTGGTTTTATTTTTCATACTACGTACCAAATTAGTTGTTGACTATCTAGCTAAGTTGAAAATCCAATCAAATAGGAGTATATCACTTCTCGATCTAATAGATGATGGTTTTGGTTGACATGCAGTACGTGTGTTAAGTGTTAACTGGTAAGCTCATGTTGTAGCAAGTGCACGAGGCTCGCAGAATTTCCAATACAAAGACAAAAACACATTATGATACATATGCTCCCTGTTTTTTTGGTCAAAGAATATGTTGCATATGGTAGCATATCTCCACAAGGGTTGCAAGGTGGTAAGCCGGCCATCCGCATTACCTCAATATATCAGATTTATCCGGTTAAAGCACCGTAGTATTTACTAGCAGTCATTTTCTTTTGTACATATATATCGTGCTTAAGTGAAATGCTTGCAAAGAGAATATACAAAGGACTACCTAGCAAATATTCGACAGTAAATAGCACTGATTTTTTTAATAAAATAATACAATCATAATATAATTACATTGCAACTAGCATGTTTTATTATAAATTAAAAATGAATCCAGCATACAGTACTACAAACGTGATGGGTAACATATGCATGCTTCCGATCGATCGAGAGCGTCGAAAGAACATGGTTCGTTAGAGTGAACTCGCTAGTTTTTAGAGCCGAACATTTTAAAATTCGAGCAAGCTGCAAACATAGAGCTACAGAGATTACATGAGATCTTACAATCTTTCACCCCGAGAGACGAACCAGACAAACGAAGAAATGAGAAAGGCTCAACGTTAAGTTTAACAACTAAACAGATATATGATGCTAATTAAGCTACCTCCCGGAGCTGTCTCTCCACTATGGGATGCTATCTGGAAATGCAGAGCCCCACTGAAAGTGAAGTTGTTTGCGTGGCTCCTGGTCGAAGACAGTCTGTCCACAAAGAAAAATTTACAGAAGAAGAACATTGTTCCCACTGGCACCTGTGACATCTATAACGAAGGAACCGAAACGACCAGCCACTTTTGTTTTCTATGCCCGTTTGCAAAAAGTTTCCGGGACAAAATTGGAGTGCAACCGATGATTCAAGATGTGCATCTGTTTCATTAGCTGAAGCTAGTACATGGAGTGCCTATACTTCATTTTCAGATTTTCTACCTCCTATGTTTCTGGGCAATGTGGAATCACAGATATGATGTTGTTTTTAGAGGTCAAGCCCCCTCGATTGCTTCCTGGCTGCAACGTTGCATGCGTGAGGCTGCTCTGTGGACAGAAAACATAAAGACTGAAGATCGACATGTAATTTCTGTTTGGAAAGAAATCTTATCTTCCCCCTACAAACTCTCAATTCAATATAATGAACCTTGCATCCTTATATTCAATGAAATGATAAATTCGGGTGGGGAAGCTCTCCCCCCGTGATTTAGTAAAACAAGAAAGAATCGAGCGCAATTCGCCGTGTCCGTAAAAGAATTAATCATCAAAGATTTAATCAATCTTACAATAGCTAGTCTTTATAAAAAAATCAAAGAATAAACAGACACCGTGGCCTGTGGGGTGGATAATTGATGGATCGACGCCGCGCCATCGGCAGGGTCTCATCTCACGAGTCATGCCGTCTGGCCGCCGGCGGCGCCCCTCCGCAGCGCGCACTCGACGACTCGCCGGAAATGCCCGGCGTCGCAGGGCACACGCAGCACGCCCGGCTGGCCGAACCCGTACTGCTGCGCCGCCATGTCCAGCAGCTCCGCGATGCTCGGGTCCCCGAGCAGCCTCACCGGCACCATCACGCGCTCCCCGCCGCCGTCGCCGCAGTCGCCGCCGCCGCCGGCGACCATCGGGACATGCCCTCTCGGGACCTCATCCTCGCCGTTCTCGCGGCACGGCGAGGCGCCGCCGCTGCCGCCGCCGCTCTTCCTCCTCCACACCATGATGATATGTGATAGATAGTATATATGTCAGGTTTAGCACCCTGGATCGGAGCTGGAGGACGGTGCGGGGGTGCAGTCGTTTGATTCGCCGGCGTGCGCTGCGGAGGAGACGAGAGCGAGTAGGTGGGAAATTTATAGAGGAGCAAGCTAGCAAGCAGCGCAGGATCAAGGAAGCTAGGGTTCATGACCATGCATGACGATGACTGACGTCTGAAGATTGACGAAACGAACTTGTGTGTAGACGATCAAGCCGCGATTCCTTGACATGGATGGTCTTCCATGGCGACTGGAGAGATGGAGACTAGCGTGGAGCACCGGAACCCGCGCGCCGCCCACCGCGCGCGCGGGAAGCATCGGGGACGTTCGATCTGCGCGCGCTGGACGGACGGACGTACTGTTCGCTCCATAACTAGCTCAACACGTACTATTGATTGACCGATTCTGCTAGGAATATGCTTTATTAATACGGATTTCTCTTTTTTAAACCAAAGACAAATGGAGACGCTCGCAACATATGCACACTCACTCATATAAACATACATGGTCGACAGAACAAATGCAACCGGTGGACAGGTCTGAGTGCAAGCACTCCAAACGTAGGTTATGGATGGATGGGAGTAGAACGTCGAAGAATCATGTCACTCAATCCAGCTGCTTCATGAGGCCTCTTGTATAGAAAATAGACTAAAATTTCAACATCGGAAAAAGAATTGGTTAAGTTGCATAAACCACCCCACCTATCACTCTAGTTTTGAGATTACACCACATAAATTATTTTGTCATAAAAACCCACCAATCCAAGACTGTTTACGACCAGATTGTGTCCTCTATGTGCACAGAAGTAGTTGATTCGGTCCATTTCTTCCAATATAGGATCGCTGCCGATCACTGCCTCTGATCGCTTCCCACTTCGAACTAGCATTTGAGGTCAGGTGGGTACAGCCAGCTCTTTGTGATGTTCTTAATCTCGTTCTTGATGTGGAATTGTGAAACTGTGTAGCTGCATGTTCTTGTTTTTAGAAAACTATGTCATCTTGATGTGGATTATATGTGTAAACTTCATTCTTGTGACTTGTTGGATGTCAAGGATATATTCTTGATATGTGGTTGATGAGTCACGTTGGACTTGATTTTTTTATGAACATGTTCATGATCTGTGTTGATTAGGGGATCTCCAGATATTTGAGGTCAGGTGACCGCTCGTTGAATCGGCTCGATGAATCAATGGATTCATCCTGTCGACTAATTTATTTGTCTCATGGAAACCATCAGTGTCGAAAAGCTTAATGTTGGTTCAATTTCCAGCACTAATAAGGGGTTACGAATTGGCATAGAAATTGTGCTCTGTTACAAATCCAGCACTCATAACCATGCTGGATGAGTGATATGGTCCACTGTAAATCCACATCAAAACAAATGAACAGAATTAGCACCGGTGGAGAACTGGTTTTTACTCCCGGTTTGTAACCCCTATATAATCCCGGTTTTCCAACCGGGACTACGAATCCGGGACTAAAGATCGCTATCTTTAGTCCCGGGTGAAATATCCGGGAGTAAAAATCCATTTTTAGTCCCGGTAAAACATTTTTAGTCACGGTTAATGTTACCAACCGGGACTAAAGAGGCTAGATTCGGTTGCTTCTTTATTCTTTTCTTTTCTTCATTGTTTTTAATATATTGATTTCACCCCATCCCGTCCCTAAAATCCCAAATCAATCATTCTCAAATTGCCTCCAAATCCACAAATCGATCATCTCAAATACATCACAAAATCTTAAAAAAAAATTACATCACAACTTCTACAAAATTCATCACATATTCACATCACACACAAATCAAATACATCACACACCAATCCCAGATCCGAATCACAAGTTTCCCAAAAAAAACAAGAAAGAAAGAAACCGCCGGCGCAGGCCGCCACCAACCGCCGCCATGCCGGTCGGCCGGCCCACCGCGCCCCACCACCGCTCGGCCGCCAGTTGCCGCCGCGCCGGCTGGCCGGCCCTTCGCGCCCCGCCGATGCAGTAGAAAGGAGAAGAAGAGGAATAGATAAGGTTGAGGAGAGGAGTAGATACCTCGATCCGATCGCGCACGCCTCTCCGATCTCCGTGTCGATCTTTTTTTCCGGTTGGTGTTACCAACCGGGACTACAAATAGATCTTTAGTCCCGGTTGGTAACACCAACCGAGAGTAAAGCGTATGGCGATCTTTTTTCCCGGTTGGTGTTATCAACCGGGACTACAAATAGATCTTTTGTCCCGGTTGGTAACACCAACCGGTATTAAAGATTGAAAAGTACTCTGGAGCTTTTACACCGGGACTAAAGATGTTTTTAGTCCCGGTTTTTACTACAACCGAGACTATTATGAAATCTGGTCGACCGACAAAAGATGATTTCTTCACCAGTGTAGGTACTCACGCGTATTGGGTGAGTGGGCTTTTGCCACAAAATAATAAGTTTATGGGTTAAAATCTCTAAATTAGAGTGACAGTTCAGGTGGTTTATGCAATTTTTTCCACCACTTTTAGCGAGTCAAGAGGTTAGGCCACGTTTTAATTTACAACTCAAATTGCACGTGGACTATATACATGTATAATATATACTATCACATCGATCAGCCGGCACGGTTGAACTAAATAAATTTTCCGAAAACCACCAGGCCGGAAAGGCAGCCGTGGTGGCCCATGCGAATATATATGTACCGTGTCTGTTACTAGGAGTAGGCGGAGCTGGGGATCGCGTCAACTGTAGTACAAACTACTGTAATTCCATCGTCAGGGACGAACTAGCTAGCGTCTGCGCGGTCAACCAGGACATGAGCACGAGGGTCGTCAAAAAATCCAAATGCAACGCGAGCTCGATCGATCGAGTGATCCTGGATCCCCCGGACATATGCCTGGCTAGCTTAGCTTGATCATCTCGATCGATCGAGTCCAAAGCGCGTACGTACGAGTTGATCAAACAGTACTGCATATATGCAGCCAACTAGCTTGGCCTGTTGGCCAATTGGCCAACTTGCATGGCGATGATCAGTGAGCTAGCTGCGATTTCTTCCAAGGAAGCCTGTAGGTACGTACGTATTTCGTCGCTGTTCAAAGGGATGTACGTGGTCATCAGTCCTTGGCTTGGGCGTCACAGCCAAGTCGATAGGGCCGACCTTCTAGGCTGGGAAAGAGACGGCTGCAGATGTAACCGGCTAGCCATTTTCTCTTACTACTTTCCTTTTTCTTGTTTTCTTCTTTGCGATTATTATGTGGATCGAAGACTATACAATATATCTAACCACTTGGCATTTTCTTGTTTCCGAGAGTGACCACGAAAGCTGCAGGGCCTGCGACTATAGGCAACGGAACGTGATATGGGAATTGCTCCATCTTGCATTGCGCGAGCGTAATTTGATCGAAGCAAGAGTTTCAAGGACAGGAAGCAAACTTTTGAAAGAAAATTCAAATTGGGTCCACTCGATCCAAAGCTTGAACATTCAGAAATAAAAAAAAATGTGTTATGAACTTTTTTTACAAAAAATTAACAGGTCAAATTAATATGTAATATAGCACTTCATAAACATGCAAGATCAAATTCGACTTTTACAAGCTATAACGAAAATAACAAATTAAACTATAACAAGTATATATGCATCCATAATCCAATTTATTGTCATTTTTACAACTTGACAAATTGGATTAATTTAAACTTGTATTTCTTGACTAGTATATTACATATTAATTTATGTTATTATTTTTAAAATGTTATATAGCCATAACATGTAATAAATGAGTGGACATCCACTCAGATGAATTAAAGAGTTCCCGTCAAAGCTCATCAGAACACAAGGTCCTCCTCAAGGGTAGTGGGAAGTCTGGTGCATATTAGGGTTTTAGCCCCAAGCTTAGCTCTACAAACCCCTAACGATTTCATCAAAATATCATAAAAATTTCTACAAGAGATAAAACAACAGTTAGATCAGCCCCTAGGCGTGTATATCCTTTCAAGAGGACTGAATAATTAATGGCGGGGTGAAACATTAATTTAATATGGATATGTATATCATGTGTTTTATTGATTTTAATTGGTGGGACTGATTCGGGAAAGAAGATGTCTCTGCATATTTGTCACATCTATTCTGTCGAGGGAGGATTGGAAAGGGAATAGATCAGACGATTCGCGACACAGGTCAATAAATTACGCGCAAATATTGACTATGGCTGCTCTTTGATTAGCCGTGACGCGAGCAAGCAAAGCTCGTTGTGAGATGTCTCTCTCCTATACCTGTTCAGGAATTTAGATCGTTCTGCTAATCGCGAACCATCACAGTAGCAACAACAACGAGGTAACGAGATGAAGCAAATTAATTACCTTTATTATTTGCCAATCTATACATGCACGAAAATATAATTTTTATTATGACAAGGATTGCCGGAAGTAGCTGGACATACTGATAGAACATTAATTGTTGTGATACATATAATATATCCATGCCGACAAAAAAAATCTCAATTATGTATAGTTTCTGAATTTTCCTCTATATATTTTGGACAAATAAAAATTGTAAACTAGAAACTAAGGGTACATTCAACTTTAAGATCATCCAATTTTACCAAGAAAAAAACATATCATTGTCTTAAAAGGCTAAATAGTTTCCCCAGTTGTAACGCATGGACATTTTTTCTAGTATAATCATATAGTTATAAAATATTTATTTAGCATCCCTACATACTCTCTCCGTCTTAAAAAAATGAATCTAGAACTGGATGTGACATATTCTACTACAACGAATCTGAACAGATGTATGTCCAGTTTCATAATACTATAATATGTTACATCTAGTACTAAATTGGTTTTTCTATGGGACGAAGAAAGAATATTGTTCGTGCGGTGGCAATGGGTAAATTTAGTGCCATGGAGGGAGTATAATTTCGTTATTGAAGCACAGTATGGGTAATTTTTGACTTTTGAGCTAAATTCACCATCTCCATAAAAAAAATCAGTATCAAATTACTGCAAGAATCGGCGGCCACCTGATTTCTTTGGGAAGTTTAGTCATTGTCTTGGCGGTTGAAACTCAAGTCGCTGACAAGCATACACATATTTTCTTGACGGCTATTTAGAAACTCCAAGGTTACAATAATTTGATCAATCAAAGAATACACGGACAACGTGTATGTACACCGCACGACACATCAGGCGTCATGCTGACCGGCCACCGTCCTTCCGCAGCGCGCGCTCGACGACTCGCCGGAAATGTCCGGCGTCGCAGGGCACACGCAGCACGCCCGGCTGGCCGTACCCGTACTGCTGCGCCGCCATGTCCAGCAGCTCCGCGATGCACGGGTCGCCGAGCAGCCTCACCGGCACCATCACGCGCTCCCCGCCGTCGCCGTCGCCGCCGCCGCAGCCGGCGACCATCGGGACGTGCCCTCTCGGGACCTGATCATCCTCGCCGCCGTTGGCGCGGCTCGGTGAGGCGCCACCGCCGCCGCTCTTGCTCCTCCAGTACACCATGGTGATTAATTGTTAGATTGATTCCTGGAGGCCGGAGCTTGGGGATGGCGGTGGTTTGATTGTCTGGCCGGCGCTGAGGAGAGACGAGGACACGAGTTTGTGGCGGCAAATTTATAGGGAGGAAATGGTGATTAGCGCACGTGTTCTTGGGTTCTTGACATGGATGGTCTTCCATGGCGACTGGAAAGGGGATCGACTATGGTTTGAAACGAGACCTGCGATGAGAGTCCATGCAATTAATACATCATCCACTTGATTTTTCTCTTGAGATGCCCGATACTTCGCGGTAGGATGGGCCGTTGCATCGCGCGGTCGTTTTTGACGTCATGTTACTCCACGTCTCAGGCCTGTTTAGTCGGTAAATGGGAAATTTTTTCTGTCACATCGGACGTTTAATCGAACATTGAAAGAGGTTTTCGGACACGAATAAAAAACTAATTTCATAACTTACTTGGAAACCGCGAGACGAATCTTTCGAGCCTAATTAAGCCGTCATTAGCACACGTGGGTTACTGTAACACTTATGACTAATCATGTACTAATTAGGCTCAATATATTCGGTTCGCGATTTACATGTAAACTGTACAATTAGTTTTTTTTATCTATATTTAATGCTTTATACATGTATCCAAATATTCGACGTGATGTTTTTTGAAAAGTTTTTAGGGAACTAAACAGGTCCTCGGGAAAATATGTTAAATGATGCGTATGTAGAGATTAGTACTTCCTTTGGTCAAAAATATTTAATGCCATGATATAGAATTGTACCACATTTTTTAACATAAAATTGAAGAGTTTCTTAGTGCTAGAGGTACATAGTACTACCTGTCAAGGACAACAAAATTTCCTATTAGTATTATAGTACTCTTCAAGACAAATTTCGATACATTTTCTTAATTAGCTAAGCATTTGAGAAATTATCGATCATCAAAATTTAAAACTTTGAGAAAAACCTGTACTCAACGTCAAATATTTATGACCAGCGAATTGAGCTTACATAACTCAGCAGGTAAGGTTCTCTGTAGTGGAATCTACATAACCTATTTTTTCATGCGGTCAAATTGATTTTTCTGTGCGGATATTTTCCCTGTCTGGAATCAGGCGTTTGGAAAAATAAATATTTTCATGTGCGGGTGACCGAACCGCACAGGATACTCGAGTATCCCGTGCGGTCAAATTATACCGCCCGCACGGAACCAACAAAACCAAAAAAAAACGCGAAAATCACCGCCGCCTGCTAGACCGCACGCACTCGGCCATCGCTGAGCCCGCCATCGTCATCGCCTTCAAGCCGGCCCGCCGCCGCCGCAGTCGCGCCGGCCGCCATCGCCGCCGGATCCAGGCGGGGGACGGCCGCCACTGCCAGATCCGGGCGGGGGCCGCCACCGCTGCTAGATCCGGGCGGGGGATGGCTGCCGCCGCTAGATCCGGCCGCCTCGCCGCCGCCCCGCTCACCTCCTCTGCCTTGACAACGCACGCGACGACGGCGTCATCGTCGAGGGAGCTGAGCGACGACGTGCATGACGAGGACGACGACCAGGAGGAGGTTCCGCCCGCTCGCCGTCGCCCGCTTGCCACCGCTGCCTTGACGCCTCCGCCTCGCCACGCGCACGGAAGGGGCCGCCGCCGACGCCCGCTGTTGTCGGAGGAGGGGAGGAGGAGGAGGAGGTAGAGAATAGAGATAAGGTAGAGAGAGGGGGGAAGTGGTTGAGGGAGAATAAAAGGGGAAAAAGGAATAGAGAGGATGTCAAAAATTTGAAGTGGGTGAGAGGAAAAGGAGGGAGGTATTTTCCTGTGTGGTCCACTTAAAAAGCCCGCACACGAAAATCGATTTTTCCATGCGGTCCTCTTAAGTTGACCGCACGGGATAATGATAATTATCCAGTGCGTCGGATTAAGACGCCCTCATGGAAAAACGCATTTTCCTGTACGGGCGACAACCCGCCGCCGGTCCCCCTGTTTTCCCGTGCGGTTTCACTTATGAACCGCATGGAAACAAAATGGGGCGGCGTCCAGAAAAATATATCATGTAGTATATCTGTTTTGTTTCGGGAAAATATTATCCGTGACCAATGAGAGTATAATATAGGAAAAAAATTCCAATACATTTTGAGGAAGGCCTTAGTTTTTTTTTGTTACCGATGGAGTTGGTATTTGGAACGCATAAATTTCGTGTCACACCAAGCAGCAAATTAAAGGTTCAACTAGACTTGTCTGTTGTTTCTTAAATAAATAAAAACTGGACTTGTCTGTTTTCACACCCTGAGTCCCAAAACAGGACTGAGCCATGCATCCTCACTTGATATTTTATTGCAATTTGCCCGTAGTAAGTAGATGTCGATATCTTGTTAAGTTTGGAAGTTGGGTTTGGACCGCTGGTCCCATTAACGGCTAGCTAGGCCACCACGTACCAACTGTCAAGTCGATGGGGAGTATTAGAGAGCACCCAAATGGCCACATATGGACGCCTGGGTTGGTGAAGGCGGGACGCGCGTACGTGCGATCACATCGCCGGCGGACGACGCCGGAAGCATTCTGCGCATCGATCCACCTGCAGCAAGTGCATGCATGAGCACGCGAGGGTCAAATAAACGCAACAATATCGATCGATATCGAGCTGCATGCCGTTGATCATCAGTTGATCGAGTCCAATGGCGTCGGAGAGTCAGCTGTGGCGGCACAGTACTACGTACAGAGGCACGTGCCGAATTGAATCTACTTTTCTTAAAATATATAACCCATGTATTTATTTATTGATTAAAATTCAAGCATAATATGAGTACATGTACGTACAGTGCTTAGAGCACAGATCACTGGAAAACTATAGTTTTGCAAAGGAGCCCCTCAAAACTGGACAAATTACACTTTGGCATAACATGCATCTTGCATAAAAAAAGTTACTTAAAAAGAAAACGAATTAATAAAGCAATCGAGTCCTTCGTTCTCCTTTGACTGCCTTCAACGCCCACGGTGAAATCCTAGAGCTCGACTCCACTGGAGGATGCATCCAAATAAGCTGCATAGGATTAAGCCACCACACATTCCCCGTAGGGGGCCTCATATATACACATAGAGGTTCAGGTGATGATAAGTGTCAGGAAAATGAAAACCAAGAGTTCCCATCATCGACCACTCAGGACATCCTTGTCACCAATCCCTGAGCATGACCCTTATAGGCTGTGCTCGGAGCACATCGGCCCGAACACGACTGCTCGAGGCATATCCGCCCTCGCCCGTCCACCGCGGGCGGTACTCGGGGCACAGCCGACCTCCCTCCCCCCCTCCCCCCCTCCCTGGGTGAGGAGTGCTTGGGGAACCTCTCTCCTCGAGTGTTCAGCCCACGAGAAACACAAACGGGATGTCACGCCCCGAACTAGCCCCGAGCGGAACTAGCCCGTGACGCTCCAAATTAACATGTTAATCGATACTAGTCCCAGGAAACAGTGCTGGTATCACAGGAAGACAGTATATCACAGCAACAGAGGTCTATTTATTATAGAGTAGGAGTACAGTCATGTTGGGCTGCGGACAGATCTCGAGCTCACATCTGCATTACAAAAGGGGAAAACGGAAGCCAAGACTTGGGCCAAACATCACAGGCGCGACTTGGGAACTAGGCCGAAACCCTAAAACTCATCGTAGCCGACTTACTCCTGGAAGAACTCCTCGTCAGCGGGATCCACTTCATCTTCTTCAGCAACTGGGCGGGATTATTTATATAGAGCAAGGGTGAGTACAGGAGTACTCAGCAAGCCACGGGAATTAAGTGTTTAATGCAGGCTTCAAAGGAAAGGCTATTGTTTTTGCAATTGATTTTATTTAAACTCCTTTTTGAAACGACTAAGTGAGTGTTTCTCAAACGACCCGGATGAGGCAGTGCGTCTCGTCCGGTAGGAGTATGTGCAATGTATCAGTCTTTGAATTGATCAAGGTTGGCACCCGGCCAACAGCTTTCAAACGGCCACCCGGGCCTGGCTGATCCCATCAGCCGCCGATTTTCCAAACATCGAATCCATTCCACAGCAGCAATTTCACAAGTAGTAGTCAAACAAAACTACGCTAGGAATCACCTCACATCCGCCCATGACCATGGGCACGGCTGTTCGAACAGTTTAATAACCTCTGCAGAGGGGGGTACACTTTACCCACATGACGTTACTAGCCTTGGTCACCCAGCCCGTGCAGAACAGCCACGTCTGGTGACCTTGGGACTTTCATGACAAGGCATTTCGAAAGCCGACACAGGTTCACCATATGCCAACGAGAGGGGTCCCAGACCAACACCAGATTAGGTCCCAGACCATACTGTGCCAGGAAGCCCGGGGGTTCTCCCCGACACCACCCCGTTGAATTCACATGTCTCTTGGCATCAAGGCTCCCCCGATTAGCAATTTACTCAGCCAGGGGTGTCCCATTTCACCCATGTGGTCGCACTTGTCTTATGTTCGGATGAAATTCCAAGGAAACGGTCCTTAAGTGCAAGAGCAGGAAACCGTACACCCGGTACGTTCCCCGGTTCACGATTTTGGAAATTCATTTAGTTCGCAAGCACCGACCCAGGTGTCGGGTTTTCCAAGTCTTTTGTAAAACCCAAGTTTTACCCATCGTTGGATATTTTATATTTTGAGGGGGGGTGTTCTGATGCGCGTACCCGAAGGCCCGTGCATCAAAGCACAACAGTTGACAAAGGAAGTCTAAGTGTTCAATAATTCAAGGGGGGTAATTGCAGCAATTAGGATTGGGAGGGGGGGCCAGCAGGCTATCTCGCAAGCCGCGGCCGAATTACTTGTATAAAACCTATTCATGCAATATTTGCAGAAAAGAAATACTTAGATTTAAATTATAGGTGCAAGATGATCAAAGGTGACTTGCCTTGCTCGAGATCTTGAGCTTGATCCTCGAAATCCTCGCACTGCGGGTCTTCGGGCTCCGAAACTACACGTGAAATGGGACAACTCAACAAACGGCAAAAATAAAGCCCTATTATTGACCTCTAGGCGTGCCATTAGATAGATCTCGAGATTTAAGGAATTTTGGAAGTTGAACGGAGTCAAACGGGCTTACGGTTGGGAAGATATTGAATTTCTAATATTATTAGATTTTTGGTCCAAAGGAAAAGGATTTATTTAAATCCTTTTTGAAAAAAAAAAGAAAGAGGGAGGGA